ATTAGATTTACTCACCATCATGTATACAGGGGTAGTCAAGTTCCTGAATATAACAAGGTACATCAACCTGAAATCAATAAATGAAAGAAACTAGAATAAAATATAAATTAACAAGTTCTACCCTTTCATTGCAAACAAAACACTTGTAACCAAAAATAAAATGATTTATTTAATTAATTGATGTTTTTACCTAATCACTTTATGCATTTATTGCAAGTCTGAACAATTCAATGTGTAAAGTTACAAACACCTTTGTATGTGTCACGGTTCAGAACTGTTCACTATTTAGGTGAAAAGATGTGTAAGCGGCCGGATAACTCAGTCGGTAGAGCCGCGGTACAGTATCATCTACACACTGTTTTTTTTCATATTTTTTGTTTGAGGTTGAAATGCAAATTTTTTTATCTTAACTTAGTTCTGTTCAGTTTGTTCTAAATTTTCTCAATAATCTTAAAGAAATGAAACGCTATGTTATTATAGGTCCCAGTGGACCTTGACCTTAAACCTTTTGACCTAAATATGAGTGTGGCAGGTAAAACTTGTAACCGTACTTCTACACCACCATTCAAAGTTTGAAGTTCCTCAGCAATGCACTGATTTAATGGACAGTTTTATAAGTTGTTTCTATCAAATGTTCCAATGACATTGACCTTTTGACCTAAATAAGGTATATGTATATATATAAAGTATAACTCATAAGGGTACATTACATAGTACACAATTTGAAGTTGATGCTGCATTTTGATTTATCCTCACCAGATTTGTTTTGTTATTCCTGATCCCAGAGACCTTGACCTTTTTATTATGACCAGACATTTGCATGGATAAGTGGGTCATGACAATAGCTCCAAATTTTCATCAAATTCAGCTGATATCAAAGTTCAAATTTATTTTGGCAGAAATATTTAAAGTTTGGTAAAGTGTATTTTATTATAGATTCTGAATCTGTATTTCAAATATTTGTTCATATTTTCATTTATCAGAGTTTGTTCCCCTTTTTTGTAGGACAAATATTTTGGTTTCCATCTGTTACCTATCTTTGTTTAGTGAAGTGTTGCCTTTTTCACACTCATGCACTTTTCATGATCTACTTTAGTCCCAGTTTTTGTTTGACATGAATTTTTTATAAGACACTTTGATTGAAAATTTTCCTGCCTCACCTGCTGTGTATTTATTGTTTGTTTCTTATCTAAATTAATCCTTTTGTTTTGCTTGTAATTTTTCTTGCGTTTTTTGTTTGACTTGGCTAAATAGCTATAAATTTGCGCCTTTTGTCAATTTGTAATTTGATTAATAAATGCATATGAGCTTTGGTGTATAAATGCATAATTTGACATTACTTAACATCTTTAGTTTGGTGTTGATTGACATCAAAAGTATTTATCTCTAATACTAACAGTTTACTTTCATCCATTTTTGCCCTTTTCTGCTTTAAGAGATTATCTCGCCAGAAAATAAAAGTACAGTAGTGTTTATTATGTGTTGATAATACTGTTGTATTCTCAATTTGATATAACTGGATTATCTGTCATTGAAGAATGTCAGAGAACAGTTTGTGATTGTCATTTGTCACTATATTGGCAGAGAAATGAAAGGCGTACCATAAAATCTGATATAAAAGCCCCTCTGTCTTGATTATTTAATGCCCCATTGACTGCTTAAATAAATCAATTTTTTAAATGTATTTCAGTTGATACAAATGTGTTCCAGTCAGACTGATTGAAACACTCTCAAATCAACCAGTTCTTAGGAATGAGTGTAAAGTTTCTTGCTAATGGCTTGCCCCTGATGCAGTTTGAACTTATAATCCTTAGATTACCGGTAGTGGTCTAACAGGTAGTAGTCTGACTCCTTCACCAATTAACCATGCTGCCACTACAAAATTGCAATTCAGTATCAATTTTAATACATAAGTACTCTGTCAGTTTTCATATACATGAAACACCAGGGGACTAATTTTATCATCATGTAGGACATATTGGAACATCATGTAACAAATAAAATTTGAAAATAATCACTGACATTGGGAAATGTTTTCAGAAGTGAAAAGATTTAATTATTTAATGCATTTATTTATTTCATGTTTTTCCAAATTTTAAATAATAGATTGAATGTCATTTAACAAAGAACTTTTTATACAAATGAACAATATTTCTATATTTCTCCCAGATTCTGAAAAAAGCAATAATTGGAAATTGGGCCTATTATTTGATGCTCCAATTAAATATCTAATTAAAATATCAAAATTCATTTTATCACACACCCGTGCCCATTTTGCAACTCCGTAAAAATGGTATTGCACGGCCGTGCATATATTTTAACGTGACGTCATTAGCGTTATACAAACATAGTGTAAAGACGCGCTAAATGTTAGGGTTATACTATAGGCGCGTCAGTGAAAAATGACTCTTATTTCACTTTAAACGGTCTTCATTTTGGGTATGTGATAAATAGAATATTAAATTCGTGTAAGTTCATTACTGAATTTATTGCACTCGTTAAATAAAATAATATTATGCTCGCCAGAGGCTCGCATAATATAATTTTATTCAACTTGTGCAATAAATTCAGTATTGAACTTACACTCATTCAATATCCTCTATATCATAAATGAGGGATCATAAGATTGCAACAAAATTAATATAAATATAAGCCATAGAGAAATTAAAAGTTCCAACAAAGAAAAAACAAAAATTAGACAGACTTACACCAGACCTTAATATACATTAAGAGTATGGTCAGACCCTATATAAGGACATTAACTGTTACAATGCTAAATATCTCAAATAGATTTGTCCAGCTTTCAGTCTAGACAAAACCATTTATCATTTCTAGAAAATATTCCAAATGAAATTTCAAAATGAGTAAGTAACTGAATATCAAACAGTGCAGACCAATATCAAAGATGTCTCAGCTGATCTTGGTTTGCACAGTGTTTGCATTGATGGACTCACTTGCCACTAACAGGCTATATGTTACAGAGTTCAGTATGTAAACAAGCTTAACTCAAATTAATTGATCAGTTAATTGTAACATTATAACTTTACAGACAAAATTACACCTGAGACTCCAATGAATGTTTATTGGCATAATATTTCAGAGATTTGTATACCATATGATTAATTAAGTCTCAACCAATAACTTGTGTGTCTTTCCCTCGCCCAGTTGTTCTGGAATAACCATTTTTATTGTGCAAAATGACCCAAAAATGAAAACGGTTCCAATTTAATTCTCAATTCTAATACAAAATATCGATCCTTTGCAGATTTTTCCATTTTAAGTGCTAAATCACTTAATTTATGCAAAAACTCAAATTCTAAGTTTTTAGGCTATATGACCTCAGTAGAGCTTCTTTGACTAATACTGTCACATGAGCATCTAAGATTTTAATCCATAGCACAAACACTTAAATGTATCAGAAACAAGAGCTGTCACCCAAGTGACGAATGCCCCTGAAAAGGTTTCTTAAGCATGCAGGTATTATGAAAAGAACAGAGAATGAAAGTAACTAATTGCTGAATATTGTTCTTTGTATTATTGTTCCTGTAATCTCTAATTGTGATTGTGTGAACATTCAAAATATAAGTGTGACCTTGACCTTTGAAGATTTTTAGAGACGTGGTTTCTGGATGCGACAGAATGTTGTTATGAGATAGACAATTTTGTGCCAAGTTATTTCAAAATTCCTCAATGCATGACAAAGTTACAGTCTGGACATGATTGTTGTGTAAGTGGAGACACACGGACCGACAGACAGACATGAGCCTTAGTCGCGACACATTGTCTTGATGTGTGTAGACATTAATGCCTAGTTATTTTAAAATCATTCAATGCATGACAAAGTTGTAACAGTCCATACATGAATGTGTGTACTTATTTACTCTAATTGCGATAATGTGAAACTTTAAAATGATAGTGTGACGTAGGGACATGGTCCTTGGACGCAACACATAGTCTTGATGTGGTAGACATTTGTGCCAATTTATTTCAAAATCTCTAAATGTATGACAAAGTTACAGTCCAGACACGAATGAAGTGGGGACGGACAGACAGACAGTGCAATTTTAATGTGCCTCTCTTCGGGGGCATAAAAATCCTACCTATGCGGGATTCAAATTCAATACCATGATTGGCAAAACTTTGCATTCTAGACCACTGAGCAAAAGTATCAATTCCCTACAATATAACACAGTTGTCAAAGGTTGTATTTATAGAAATTGACTTGACAAAGCATCATTCCGTTCATTGGAAAAGCATTTTCCTAGAAAAAAGGCCGTGTTGGCACCAGAGACTAAAACTTAACAGCACTAATTATGTTTTAGATAACGGTTTTATATTACGTTCCCAAATATAACAAACATGGCACATTTTTGTGACAGCAATACTAACAGGTTAAAATATATTTCATGTACAAATTATATCTCAATTCTCAGAGGCACTCAGCAACAGAAGTCGCTGGCTTCAAATTAACACCAGTATTATAAAAGAGAGGTCAATGTGTTTGTCTCAGACCAGACAGACTGTAGGCTATATATCGTAGGTTGATCGCTTTTATAAACTGTTGTAAATCCTTCTTTATTTCAATTCAGTTACGGTAGTTTTGCGGTCAAACCTCAATATTATATTTTAACTTGACTGCTTAATTTTACTGTGCTGAACTGACATATACATCCCAGAACTCGGCAAATGTCCGTTTTTCCAATCAAATCCCACTGCCCTGCGGAAATGACCACATCCATATCAATGCCGACCATGGTTGCACCATGGTTGCCAATGATATGACCTTGATATGCAATTACAGAAATTGGGGACTATGAAATGGTTGTGGTATGACCATGTTATGAACATGTCCATATCATGGATCATCATAGTCAAAGCAAAAGAAATGTTTTGACCATGGTAATAATCATAGTTAAAATGACAGCATATCATGGATATCCAAATAAATGAAGACCATAACATGTTTTTTCATTTGATAATATAATGGCTTGAACTACATCTGTTTTGACCACAACTGGCATGATAGCTACAACATTGCCAGATCATTTATTGAAATCAGAGTCATAACATGTTTGTCTACATGGCAGTTCAGTCAGTTTCATTTTTTTGTCCACAACTACTTTACAGTCTGAGAATTTGTTTAACAATCACACTACATAATTTTTTCCTTCTATTCTCCCTTAAAGCTGCTTTAAAAATATAAGACATGTATTATATTTTGTCCCTGACAGAAAACTAACACACTGATGTATTTGTCAATCGATATTTTTTTATTACCTTGAACAAGTACTTCTAAATGAATTGACCTTCTGTTATAAAAATACCGCCCTAATACTTATTTAAAAATAATGTTTTCTTGTCTTATCTAACTGGACATTCTCCGGCCCCATATATTGAAGTCCGTCACACCCATGTGTTTTACATTTATATTCATTTGGATCGTCAGCTGGAAAAGTTTGAAGCATTTCATACAATAGTGGTGTTGACGATAATTATCCTGATGTCCAGAAAGCACAGTTTTTTTTAATAGTTGTTTATAATTATTTGGAAGCCACGATTTTGATTGTGGATTTGTTGACTTATGTAAAAGTATCAAGTCATCAATGCAGTTTCCAGCCAAATTGTAATTCATGGCAAATGAAAGGAACGCTAATGAATAATCTTTTTCCTTATTAATGCACTGAGCAGACTCACACATTTCATTGTTTACACTACTGGCATCAGAACTTACAGAATCTGTATTATCCAGCACATCACTGTTATCATCAGATTCAGAGCCCTCATGTGATTCAGAACCATCACCAATTTCCATTAAAGACTGCATTGATTCTGTTTCATCAGTCAACAAATTTCCATTTTCATTGTAATCGATAAGGATATGATTTTCACAAAAAGTTTCATGTTCTGTAATATTACTAATAAAATTTTCAATCTGAAATGTTTCTTTATTCTGAGATGATTCTTCTGTTTCCTTTTCTGAAGACAGTAAGGCCAGATTTTCATCTGTGATTTCTGCTTTTGGAACTGTAAGAATGAATATATACATTATAATAGACTTAGATACACATCACAGCAATACTATGTTTGGTTAGAAGAAGAACTCTAAATGCTGATGCATGTCAAATGTGAAAGTTCTGGGCATTTTGGCTGTGGACAAGATTTGTGAAATCTGACTGTGACCTTATTATGCAACAAACCAAAACCATATGTAGGACAACTTTGGTAGGAGACCATCCAAGGCTTAAAGAAATACTGTATAAGTGGATCATTATTTCATTTTGGTATGATGAAAAGTATGCAAATTGGCAACTTGCGACAAATCAGAAGAAGAAATATTTGTGCATGTTCAAAGTTTAACTAGTCAGTAATTTGTAATATTTTCTGATGGTGAATAATTGTTTAATTTATCCTATTTCTTGTACTACACAAAAATCACAATGTTCAAAAAGTATTACCAGAGAAAGGTCTATTGTGTGACTCATACCCAGTACAATATTTAATCAATTATCTTACTTGACTGGCTATGTATTTGTAAAAAAATATGTTATAAATTACCCTGATCAGGTACAAGTACTCGTCTGGAAGTAGTTCTTTTTGGAACAGGCACACTCGGATCTCTATTGTATAGTTTGTAAACTGGCTTAGCTGGACCTAAAAATAATTCAATGTATTATGTTGTATAATTTTGATACAAAGTGATAATCATAGCTTAAAAATACTCAGTATCAGACCTGGGATCAATCAAAAGACCCAGACTGATAAAAATGTTTGAATATATCATAACAGGCCTTAAATATAAAAAAAAAATGTCAGATACTCATGCCTGTGATCAAAACTGGAAGATTAAATGAACTTTTTATGATTTGATTGTAAACATAATTCTACACTTCCAACCAAAATTTGCCATGTGAATTTGTCTTTCTAAATCTAGTACTTTCAAGAAATTAAGAGTAATAGTTCTTGTATATTGTACTTCTCCACACTTAGACTCAGGGTTCTGTTCATGTATCAAGTTTCATGACAATACCCTTGATATTTAAATTAACTTACAATCCAGAGAAAACAAGAGCGACCAGTAATCACATGTGTCGCCTCATGATGGCCAATTTCATGTTGGGACAAGTTTTGTGACAGACGGACAGACAGACAGACAGTGCACAACTACACTTGGTACTGATCATTCCTGTAAAGGTTGGATAAAATTGCATCAGTAGTTTATGAGGAATAGTCCGGACAAGCTTTTGTGTATCTGGCAACACACAGAAAAAAACACCTTTTTATCAAAGGGCCCTAACTCTGCCAAAAATCATTCAACCGGAAAGCCTGTGCAATATGCGCACAGACTTCCCGAAAGTTGAAAAAAACTGTCAGACATTCGGTCTGACAAACCACGAAAATCTGTCGGACCGAAACAAAATCTGTCGGACCAAATAAAATTGATCAAAATCAAAGAAAAACTTGTGTTTGTATTTCTAAGACTCTTTTTGTTTTTTATATTTTCGCCGTAAAAATCGGCATAATCCGTACAGCGCATTTTCATCTCCTCACTGTCATACACCAATGATTCATGGTTTTGCTTCCATTTTTCATTAAATTTTGTCTCAGGTCTATTCTTTTCATCCTTTTATTGCTGTTCTGCGCACTCTTCTGACGTATATTTTCGGTTATTCCCAGGTTTGGCACCTTTAGCGACGCCATTTTGTATACATGCGGCTTGGATTAAAGCCGGACAGTCGGACCGATCCGGAATAAAAAAATGTCGGACCTGATCAAAATTTATCGGACATGTCCGTCGGACCGACGTATTTCGGGAAGTCTGTGCGCAACAACTTGAGCTACAGATCAATCCTGTAAAGTTTCATTGAAATTGCATTAGTGGTATAATAGAAGTAGTCCGGACAAACTTTAAAAATAAACATAATTAAAGGGCTATAACTCTGACCAAAATCATTGAACCAAAAAATGCTGACAATATGCACAACTAGACTTCTGCTTAAGCCGGTGCTAGGGGGCGTGGACGGTAACTTGCACTTTCCAGTACCGTCCATGAACAGGCTCAATCAAACCGAGCCTGCAACATTTTCAATTTTGCCGTGTTGGACTTTCTTTAGGGATTCTGTATTTATCTATTTTTTGGTACTGATCATTCCTGTAAAGTTTGGATGAAATTGCACCAGTAGTCCGGACAAGCTTTTGTGTATCTGGCAACACACAGAAAAAAACACCTTTTTATCAAAGGGCCATAACTCAGCCAAAAATCATTCAACCGGAAAACCCGTGCAATATGCGCAAGGACTTGAGCTACAGATTAATCCTGTAAAGTTTCATTGAAATTGCATTAGTGGTATAAGAGAAGTAGTCCGGACAAACTTTAAAAATAAAAATTATTAAAGGGCCATAACTCTGACAAAAATCATTTGACCGGAAAATTCTGACAATATGCACAACTAGACTTGGTACTGATCATTTCTGTAAAGTTTGGATGAAATTGCACCAGTAGTTTATGAGGAGTAGTCCGGACAAGTTTTGTGACGGACGGACGGACAGACAAACAGACGACGGAGAAGTGATCCCTATATGTCGCCACTGCTCCGTAGAGGCGACACAAAAATGAAGTACATGTATGAAAATAAAGAAGAGCAATAACTTATGGGAGATATTACAAGGTTACAGTTCTTGTGCACTGCATTTCTCCATAAGAAATGTCCATTTTCTTGACAAAACTTTACAAAACATGGCCTGTCCAAAGAACCAGGTTACCTTGACAGTGATGTTACACTTACTTAAGGAATGACAATCCACCAGATGTGAAAAAACCCTGTTTTTAGTAGAACGGTGAGCTCCACAAAGAGCACATCTGAAATAAGTCTTTTTCCCAATTTTCACAACATCACAACAGTCTTTCTTTGATGAATTCATCTGAAAAATTAACAGGATAGTAAAAGAATAACCCAAGCGGATAAAACAATGGTATAACAAGATGTTTTTTGTGAAAAATGCATGTCTCTCCCCTGCACCCGATGGAATTAAAGCCACGGGAAAGATATCACCTTTCTGAAACAGATGCCTCTGTCATTTATTATGGTATAAGTAAGAACAGGGCTCTCAGTAGTGTCAGAATTTTCAGGTCAAAGATTCTTTGACCAAAATGTTCAGGAGTCAAATCATTTTTTTCTAACATGAATTATTTTTAAGTTACAAAAATTATCTTTACTGGTATGCTGTACTGGTTGGGGACCACCAAAACCGGACAACCACCAAACCCGGACGGCCCTGAAAATGCTTAATTTAGTATTTTCTTTGTTTAGTGGTTGTCAGTCACTTTTTTATCAACAATAAATGCATGTTTCTTTTAAAATTAAGTAAATAAATTTATTTCAACCTCTGTAAATGGTAATATTTTAATGTCTATTTCAAGAATGTTGATGTTGAAATTCGGGGGTCAAGAAAGCAATGCCTGACCTCATATACCAGCTATAATCATTTGCAGAGTGAATAATAGAATATCCAAACCTTCAGCATTTGTTGCTGACATACTGTATATCATGTTACAAATCAAAAATCAAAACACCCAAGCTTTTATCTGAATTAAATCACATCATGTACATATCTGTCCGGACACATGGTACTGTAGTGTAGACAATTTAGGTAATTTTGATACCCTCCTTGTCGAGCCTCAGATATAAGTGTCAATACAATCAGAAATAAACAAACTAGTTTGTTAGTTAGGAGAACAACCTAGCTAAACTGTGTCAAATTTTTTGGTCTCTAGGTTAAAAATAATGAAATCTGTACGGAAAAATGTTCCAAAAGTGTCCGGTTGATGGTCTCCGACCAGTATAATAAATTATATCATATAAATTTTAAATACCAAAATGTACTAGGGACTATTCAAGGAAAAAAGAAATAACAAATGTACAGGTACTCCAAGTAAATCAAAGACATATTTTAAAATAATTGACATCTCAAGCATGTAATTCTTATCAGTTGTGTAGAGCTATTTTTAGCGCTGTCAAATTACATCCACTGATGTCACGATTCAGTGCACATGCTATAAACAATGCTGTGTGGAATACACGGTGACATTTTTATTGAGTGTGATTTGAACAAATGTAGGTGTCAAATGTGTTCATAAATTTACCGGATTTTCACGTGTCCCATGTCAAACGAGAGCTCTGTATGACAGTATGAGGCACTATTATACGTTTGCCATTCATTTATTTACTTATTAATTTAATGTAATGTTTTTAAAATACATAAAGGTAAGACTTTATGAACAAAAATGACAGTTTTGGTAAAGGGGCGAAACGTCTTGGGTAATTTGGGGCCGAAACGTTTTTGGGTCGAAATGACTAAACGTACTAGTTTTCCGTGACTTGAGATCTTGTATTCTTTTCCATCTTTTTATATTTCGACATGTTGAATCACATTAAATTAAATTCAAATAAATATCACTTTTACCAGTGTCTGCGAGTGCTATATTACTTTTTTAACAACAAAATGAAACTTGTGTGCTTCCTGTTTTGTTTATATACGGATTACATTGCACAGCCACGTGAGTAATATCATGTCCGAGATAACGTAACGATATCTTTTTTTTTTTTTTTTTTTTTTTTTTTTTTTACAAAATAGACCAAAAGATTGATAACATAAATGAATTTTTTTAATAAATACAAGTTACTCACCTGTTTATCTGGCTGTTTCGACGTCGGCTATACCTACCCGAAAATATTCGTGTTTTTCCGCCGTAGTCCGGGAAGAAAGCACCAATCGGAACATTATCTATAAGACTGACGGAAAGGGCCGAAAAGTTGCGATTGAGAAAGCACAATCATGGTTTCTGACGCGTGCGCATTGAGTTTAATTTGCGGGAAGACGTTCGAAAAACATGTCAGCATTGGAGACAAGTCTTGTTTTTCTGGCCAGAAGAGAGTGCCTGGTCATTGGTACAGAATTCAGCATTAGAGACGGGGGCTACAATAGGATCCAAAACTCGAGTGAAGTTCAAGTGCAAAAAGTATCTAGCCATTTTAATTGCAAGTAAGTCGATGCTTTGCAGAGTGCGCGGCAAATGCAGTTTGCAGAATGATTGTCCGGTTGAGATTTTATATATAGAATACTCAAATATAATTTACTAGAAACATTAGGTACTGAGCTATTTTGCGACAGGCCACGATATGCAGTAACAGATATTTAACGTAAGTGGCAGTATCGGTGTTTAATTAATTTACCACACCCCACCTCCCAAGACTGCTGATTTCTTACTTTCGGGCTTTATAACATTAACTAGCGGTTAACTGGGGATCTGTAAATAATAAATTGTAATAGAAAAATATATTGTGCATTGATTCCATGCAAAAATCCGACGATATTACCGCCCGACACAGATAACCGGCGTACCCATAATTTTCGTATACTCTCGCCTCGTATATCCGCGGTATCCCTATTCCCGCTGTAAACAACATTTCCGGTAAAAACAAAACATTGCGCCACCTGCTGGTAACCTACTTCATCGGAAAAGTCTACTTTCGTTTTGTGTCTATATTTTCGTCGATATGTTCCGAATTGCGGTAAGTTTTTACTTAAAAATTAACAAATCATGTAAAAACAACTTATTTTTCATAATTCTAAACTAAAAACCTAAAAATGATTCCTTAGTATTGCTTTGTTGCACAATTTTATGAATGACAGGTACTGGTCGTCTGCAAATTATGACGTCACAAGCACCTTAGTTTGACAGTTAAAGGTACTTTACCTATTAAAATTTGTTTTATAAGAATATATGCTTTTTCTTTTAATTATGATCAAAGAGAAAATCAAACACGCTGTAGGGAACAAAAATAAAAGTAGTAAAACATTTTATTTTTATAATTCAAGGTCTCATACCACTAATTTTAAAAAATCAAGGTCAGATGGAAGTATTTAAAATACAAAGGTCAGACAGGAGTATCTGATTTCCATCAACATAAACATGGTTGTACTAACCCAGGTTGTGTTATTTTAGTGCATGTTTTAAATGGGGTCAAACGTGTATGCTATCAGATTTTATTGATGTTTCAATGACTTCTAAATACTTTATGACTGTTTTTATAGTTATTACAGTATATCTCTGCTGAGAGTGCAAAATAAATCCTGTATGTATTTCAGGACTTCAAGAAATCAAAGCCATATGAAAAGGCCAGTCTTCTCAAAGCTTATGAAGCTACAAGATCTGGACTGTCAGTTTACAGGGCATCACGTTTGTATGGTGTTCCTGAGTCTACCCTTCGCGATAGGACTCGTGGTATTGTTAGTTTAGAAGGTATTCGTGGCCCTGACACCATTCTGTCTCCTTCAGAAGAAGAACAATTAGTAAACCATATTTCATACATGGCCAACATAGGCTATGGTTATACTAAAAGCAACATACAGTACATGGCCGCTGATCTTGCCAGATCTTTAGGAAAGAGAAGTAATGAACATCCCATGAGCCATAATTGGTTTTATGGATTTTTGAAACGTTGGCCAGAGCTGAAGGTAGTTAAGCCACAAAAATTACATCTTGCAAGAGCAAAGTGTGCATCTGAAGATAACCTTAATAACTATTTTAAAGAATTAGAGCAAGTACTTGTTTCTAATGACTTAGCTAATCAACCGGATAGAATTTACAATATTGATGAAACTGGGATTAGCACTGAGCATGCACCACCCAAGATTGTTTGTTCAAAAGAAACTAATCCGCAGGCTGTAACTTCTGCAAGATCTGCAAATGTAACAATTATTGCAGCAATAAATGCTTTAGGCAATCATGTGCCCCCTTTCTATGTATTTCCAGGAAAGCGCTGGACTGCAGAGTTACTGCAAGGAGCTCCTGCAGGATCAGATGGAACAATGTCTGACAAGGGTTGGTCCAACTCGGCTGTGTTTGAACATTACATTAAAGAACATTTCGCTAAACATGCATCCATTTTTGAAGGGCAAAATAGGCCTGCCACGTTACTGTTATATGATGGACATAAATCTCATATTTCCTTAACACTTACCAAGTGGGCAGAAAAGAGAAATGTTATTTTATTTGTTTTACCTCCACACACAAGTCACTTGACCCAGCCTCTGGATGTTGGTGTTTTTGGACCATTGAAGATTCAATATTACAAAGAATGTCAGTCATACTTACAGAGGAATCCTGGAATTTCAATCACAAGATATGAGGTAGCACAGTTGACAGCTAGACCCTATTTGAAGGCACTATGTCCTGACAACATCACTTCAGCATTTCGTAAGTCTGGAATATATACCCTTTCAACAGTAAACAGATTACTGAAATACAAGTTGCTCCAGCCACGATTTACCCAGAAAAGGATACTGCCATGGCTGACAATGTAAAGTCTGGCAAAAACAGCAAAGAGCCAAGCAATGAAATTACTGCTGATTCAGTACCACAGCCTGAAAGTACTCAGCCTGACAGTCCTCAACATACAAATAATGCCACTAGCTTTTTTGAAGCAAGAAAAATTACAAGGGTTGTAAATAGACCTAAGAAACGCTTTAGTACCCCATATTCTATCTCTGGAAATCTTGCAAAGAAGTCCAACTCTACTTATTTGCACACTCAATCAATGAAAAAAGAAAATGTTACCCCCAAAAACCTTGAAAAGAAGACAAAGTCTACCTCCAATTTAAAGAAAAGTAAAGCTGTTGATAGTCCTAAACCAGGCACGTCAGGTGTAAATAGGACTGGTGGCCCTATCTTGCTTTCTTCACCCGAGATCTCAGATGATAGTGACATTGACACAATAGAAGACTCAGACTTATGTTGTGTCTGTAAAAAGTATCATCCAGACCAGTTACATGGTTGTGACCACATTGTATTTGTTAAATGGGGCAAATGTGACTTTTGTAGCCACTGGACACACTTGTCTTACTGTACTGATGTTCGTGTCCTAAGGAGGGGTAGCATATTCAAGTGCCCTCATTGTGAAAATGAACAATAAAAAAAACAATAGTGTTCACATGTAAATATGTTAAATAGTTTACAGTTTTACTCACAGTTACTGTCTCTAAGTTAAAATTTTATCCCATTTAAGTTAACAGTTGACTCAATTTATTTTAGTAGTCTGTTCCCTAGTAACTTTCATAAAAACAGTATTCTTATGATTACCGCGGATATATGAGAAAGTACCTTTAAAAAATGGCTACCGCCATTACATTAATATTGAAGGATTTGGGTACATTTGAACTGTCATTTGCAAAATAAAACAATTGTGAATCAAGAATCAATAAAAAGGAGGACAGGAATTCGGCGTGTTTGATGTAAGGTAAGCCATTTTATTCATATATGCATTAGTTAAAGTGATAAGTACCGCGGATATACGCCAGTATACCTGAAAAGTGATTTTTTTTTTTTTTTAATATATTGATGTTTTAGTGCATAAATAACAAGGTTAAACACATTTTAGGTCAAATCAATGCCACTAGCACCTTTGATGTGTATGCCTTCCTAGTTTCATGAACTGTGTATTTTTCAGAGGTTCTTAAAAGCAAGGGAAAGAAGTTTCAAGGTTACTTGAATTCTCTTCTTTTTGAGGAAAAGACTGCTGATGACATCATAAGAAGAACAAGAGAAGAGTACTGTAAGTATTATGAGCAAGGAGGATCTTTTTTGTGAACACTGTAAATGTCTAGTGTTATTTGTCATTAAAATTTTGCTACAAAACGTTTACAATCAACTTTATCCAAATTCATTGTCTAAAAAAGTTAAATTAATTCTGCCTCTCTAACAAAATAGCCACCAGGGCTTAAAATGGAAAAACATCACAAACATCATGTTCTTTATGGGGCTGAATCACACCAGTATGCCCAAAGTTATGTGCCCTTAATCGTTAAAAAAACCTTGAAATATTGACTACTCGTCTTATTATTTTGCAAACTCCTTTTTAAATGATTGCATTGAATCTTGCTATCAACCATCACTAGATAATGTAGGTGTGCAAGAACATTATTTTGATGCATAGCATTGCAGAGTTATGTGTCCTTTTATTACAAGGATTGCTAATGTTATTTCTAAAATATAGTTTTTCAGAGACATTAATTAGCGTGTTTTCTTAAGTCTTATTAATGATATAAGACCAACATCAACTAAGTCATCTTTTCCATAATTATACCCACAGATATGAAACATGGGAATTTATTGGATTCAGGTGTTTGTCAGTCAGTCCTGTGTATCTTGAGGTAAACTGTCCAAGTAATTTCTCTGCAACTACCTGCATTTAATAAAACCTCACAGCTGTGATATAAAAAGTAGGCCTAAGTTGTGCATCATGTAATATAGTTTATTAATAATTCTGTTATTGTTTAGTCACAGGATGATTATAGCCTATAATGATTATTTCAGGGCCAGAAAGACTATGTCACCAAAGATGAGCTGGATGCAGTTGTGGATGACTTAAGAAGCCTCCGCAGAAGAGTAAGAAAATTAGAAGCAGCAGCAGCAGCAAATACCACAAAGGGAGAGAAAAGCAAGGCCAACATTAGATTTAAACCAACTGATGGAAAATGCTGACAATGAATTCAATGCTGTTGAAATACTGCTGCTGCATTTCTTTGACAAAGAAACAATAATTGCAATCGTCTG